CAGGGCTGGACCCAGAGCCAGTGATCTTGACGCTCACCACAAGTCCCCAGCAGCCTGGCCTCTGAGCTGCTCTCACATCCCGGTCCTGGCCTGCATATAGCCAGAACAAGACGCAAACCTCTTTCCCCACCAACCCTAACAGCAGGGTCCATACAAATCAAATCAAGGTGGAACAGGAAAGACACACCAGTGTGTGTGTGGGAGTGCTTGGATGCTGACGATGGCTGGCACGACTCCCTTTAGATTCTTGTGTTTTAAAGTTGGGAGGGAAATGCCTATTTTTTTCAACATAGCCTTTTGATATATTACATAGTTATACATGACTATGTATGCAGTTCAAGTCTAGCTGGCATGTTTTACCAACACATTTCTTAAATGGCAGAAAAGACGTAGAGAGGCAGGAATGATATCATTATTTTCCTTTCAGCTCTCACTTTTGATTGATCTAAAATCATGATTACAGGGAGAGCAGCATTTCCTGGAAAATACTCATTACTTACACCAACAATCACATTTCCAAAAATCAGCAGGCTCTGGAAGCAACGAACAGTGGACTCGTCTTTGGTCATCTTCAGAATTTCCCCCAGGCTGAGGACACAGTTGAGAACATTACAACCCGACAGGAGCACATGATAAAGACTGCTGCAAGTTCCAAAGCGTGACCACATCACGCCATCATGCACTGCCTTCTCGTCTTCCAGACCAAGCCGTGCAATCATTTAGTGATGGAGGAAGTTTGGCTACTAAGTTCTGTAATCACTGTAATTTTTTGAAGAAGGGGAAAAACGGTAAAGCCAGCCTGCGTCTGATCAGTGACTTTCCGGAGTTCTTTAGGTCAGGAACATACAGACGGTGTCCTTCTGAGTGAGGAACTGCAGCCCCCAAGTCGCCGAGGGCCGACCTGCGGCGGCGATGAAACATGAGAGGGTCCCTGGGATGCCTCTTCCTGCCCTCGCTCACGGCAGACCGAAACCCAAAGGATAAACCTGCGCCCAGAGTTGGCAATTGGTTCCCATGTGGACTCTGGGCAGCTGTTAAAAATCATTCTTTTCAGGATGTTTTGTATCTTTCAATGGAGATGGCAAATTAAAAATACCCTGTCACATAAGAGGAGGGGGAGGTGGGAGAGAGGGGCTAACATTTAGTTTCCCCCAGGTGCCACTCCACTAGGCGCTCTACATACACACATGTAATTCTCATAACCCAATTAGGTAGAGAAAGAGGGTGAGGGGGCTCCATTTTGCAGATGAGGACACTAAAGCTTAAACTGGTGAATTAAGTTCCCTGCGGTCATACAACCCAGGAAGTGGAAGGGCTGGAGACCTTGGTCTGCACGACTCCACAGCCCCAGTGCTGTCCCCCAGCCCACACTGGCTCCCAGGAATTATTTACAAGGTTTACTGCTGAATATGGTACTTAAAAAAAAGTGAGTCTTTACCTCCCTGGGGATTCTGTGGAAGGAACACAAGGGTAAGTGGGGTAAGTGTTCGGGTCAATTATTTTGGCTTTTGCATTTGAATTACCTGGAGATAAGCCATCACGTATCTCAGTGTTTTATTAATTAAATTAACAATCCACTTCACGTACTCATGCTCTAAATCAAAATGTATTATATGACACAAGCTGCATTTTGAGTCATAACAAAGATACGTTAGGAAGATTGCTGTATTCTAGGATTTTACGCTGTAGTGGGGAAGCTGTGTTCCGACATCACTGTAATGCATCTAGTGAGACCCTGAGTACCGTGGGAGTTCTGAGGAGGAAACAGATGAGGCTGGCAGAGTGTGTATGGTCGAGTAGAGGTGGGTGTGGAAAGAAGGTGGGGTGTGACATTGGAGGTAAAAGGAAAGGGGCGGTTAGGGAGCAGAGCCCTGGAAGAACAAAGGAGCCCAGAAGATAGCAGATCAGCCAGTTTGGCTGAAGTTCCGGTTTGTGTGGGGAACCCGTGGGAGGCAAGCCTTCTATCTGACTCAGACCTCGCTAAATTTAACTTCATCATTACACTCTCACGTAAGTTATTACCCACCTTCCAAGTAATCTCAAACATCTCTAAGTGTTTCCTTTACCTCTTCACCTGGGTAGTGGTGGGGACTGAAGGGGTTGAAATTTATGAGTGTTTTCGGGTCACATGGCGGGGACTCCATCAATGTTTGCTGAGTGAGTAGAAGAAACCGGGCCACTGTTACAAAATCCCTATGCGTAGCTTCTGCTTAGAAATGCCGTTCATTTCTTTCTGCTTGGAAATGTCATTTTGGGCTTAGAAATGTCTTTTGTCCTTTCCCGAGATGGTTGCACATTAGACTGAGTGGAGCTGGAGGCCCTGAAGGAGTTAATGCACAACCTCCCCCAAGGGGAGCCTCACTTACGTAGCCGGCTCAGCCACATTGTAAAGTTTACTACAGGAATGCACAGATATCGCTCCTGACCAGATGGGTTACCATCTAAACTAGAGACATAGATAAATAGACCATGAAAGGTGAAAGTTCAGACAGCACAAGTTCATGTACAGAGTAAAGGGCAAAAATCTGGAGAGGCCAGATTCAGCCCATTATCACCCAGGATCAATTAGGACCCCTTTGCAGGGAGCAGCCTATTTGTGGTCATTAGGTGGGCTTTAAAGAACAGAAAGAAGACAACTTGTTCTTTCAAGGAATCTGGAGTATGATTATAGCAACATGGACTCAAAGCAAAAATGACTGTACACATTAGAATAAAGGAAGAAAGTATGGCTATGGAGAGAAAAGAAGGCAGGTAGGAAAGAAAGAGGGCTTTATTGGTCCAGAAGGAGCTGACGGGACCCTGAACAAGGGATTTGATCCAAGTGACCCAGTTATGTTCCTATGAGGTATCCTTTCCCAAAGGTGACTCTGCCACACAGAGTTTTCAAAGGGACATAGAATCCTCTGTGGGAGAATTGCAAGTCAGAATTAGGGTGGGGAAATGCAGACCAGAGTGGAAGAACAGAAGGAAAGAGGCAGGTAGGAGCTTGGCTTCAGTGAAAGGAAGAGCGAAGATATCTTGACAAGCATGAGGTCAGACAGGCCAGGGGCAGCCCAGCCGGAGGCTGATTTACGGAAGGCAGGCCTGTGCCGATGCGCACGTGCGCTGAACTTGCTGCCTGCCAGCTGTTTCTCTGGTTTCACTCCGCGCCCTCCTCTTCTCCCGCTTCTGCTCCTTCAGTGGCACATCATTTTTCAGATAATGGCACAAAATAGCAAAGTGTTGATGTAAGTTGTCATTTGGCGAGACTTACGATGGTCTTGGCACATGTTAGCACTCTGTTCATCCGCTCAATTGACCTAAGAGATGGGTATTTTTACCAAAATCTGTATTGGTTACTTACTGCTGTTGTAACAAATTACCGCAAACTTAGTGACTTCAAACAACACACAGGTATTATCTTGTATTATTCTGGAGGCCAGAAGCATGGAATGAGTCCCTCTGGGCTAAAATCTAGGTGTCAGCAGAGCTGCCCTCCTTCTGGAAGATCTGGGGAGAATCTCTTTTCTTGCCATTTTGCTGATGAAGAAAAGGAGGCTTAAAGAGATTAATTACTTGGCCCAGGTCAC